CCTGTTATCCTTTCCTGGGCAGGCAAAATAGCTTTTGCATTAAGAGAGATACTTTTCAGGAAATGGAAGAGTTGTTGAAGAATGGGAGAATTTTAAAATTTCAGTTCCAAGTGATTTTCATACCAATCAACTTCAATTCATTAGGAAGAATTAGTGCAGAGAGAAGTGAAGGTTACAAAAGATTGTGGGGACCACAACCCAAATTAGTCATCAATTTATTAAGCACTTATTCTGTGCTAACCAATCAGTGAAGATAAAAATGAAGCTGTTCCTGCCCTCAGGGAGCTTACATTCTATTGGGGAAGGTAACAGATACATATATAAGTATATAGAAAATGTATATAGAATTAAGGCAAAGTTGAGGTTGTTTTTTTTGGGGGGGGAGTTGTCTAGCAGTTATTGGGATCAGGAAAGGGCCCATGCTTGAGCTGAGCTTTGAAGGAAATGTGATTTAAAGAGGACAAGCCGAGCAGGGAGTGAGAATAGCCAGGGTAAAGGCACAGAAATAAAAGACCCAGTTATTGTGTCGTTTCAATCATGTCCAACTCTTTGTGACCCCACTTGGGGTTTTCTTGGCAAAGACACTGGAATAGTTTTTGCCATTTCCTTCTCTAGCTCATTTGACAGATGAAGAAACTGAGGCAAATAGGGTGAAGTGCTTTGCCCAGGGTCACACAGCCAGTAAGTGTCTGAGGCCTGACTCCAGGGAGGGTGCTCTATCCATTGTGCCACCCAGGTGCCTTAAGAGATCCGGAGGGACAAATCCATCCCCTCCCTATCCTTATTGTAGAGAGAAGGAAAGGGGGGTGGGTGGGACTGGTCCGAATAATTCCCTTAGTGCAGAATGCTGATCTGTGCCCTGCTCAGGAAGGTGACAGAAAGGGCTCTCTGCCAGACGTTCAGTTCAGTTCATTTGTACAGATGTTTATTACCAGTCCAGAAGAAGAACAGTAACAACAACAACAACAACAACAACAACAACAACAACAACAACAACAACAACAACAACAACAACAACAAGAACAAATCTCTCCTTGGGAAGCGAGATGTGTGCAGCCCTGTTTCCAGACTGACCCCCAACCCAGCACTTTGTGGGGATAGTGTCCTTCTTCAGGTCATTATCCTAGTTAACCCAGGGGAAGAAGTCATGCTCCCAGAGCAAGCTGGCGAGCCCAGTGTGATTGCCTGTCTCTGTTTGCCTGTGGAGAGGCACGGGCAGCTGTTTTGTGCTCAAAGGAGCAGGGACCTGAAGTTCAGGTCAGAGCAGAGGAGGCCTCAGGGAGGTGTTGTTGACTGTGCCACTGACGTCTAACCCACCTAGCCTTCACATGGGCTTCTATTTATACCAACCCTGTAACTCCTTGCCAACCAGCGTGTTAAATCAAAAGTCAAAAGATAACAGGGACAGGAGATTTTCTTTTTTAAATCCATCTTTCTATACATAATGCCGCTTAGTTACTCTTATTTGGCAGGGGTGGGGTACAGTTGGGGGAAGAGGAGGCAGGAGGGGGACACAAGCATACATACTATGTGCATTCAGAAATGCTGCTGTTCTTCTCTCCAGACTCTGTATTTCTCTCCTCTAACATTAAAATTCATGAATCCCACACTAAAGCAGCTTCTGTATAACTTTCAGTTCTCTTTATCATACTGCAGTGAACATAGAGTGATTTGCATACCAGCTCCATCGTTAGGTGGTACCATGCTGGGCCCAGCAGGTACTATGTGCTCTAAAAAAAGTAGTCAGTCAATTAATAGCAATTGCTGGGGGGCTCCTTAAGTATCCTGGGTTAGGGTTTAGGGTAGATACATAAGGCCGTTTGGTACTCTCAAGGGGTGTACTCTCCAGTCTGGCAAGGCATACATAATCACAGTATAAGGCAGCAAATGGTAATTGTCAGGTGAATGGCAGAAAGAAGCTGTGTTTTAGATTTTGATTCCAATTAATTTTCCTACTAATAAACTTCAATTCATTAGAATGAAATAACGCAGAGAGAAATGAAAGTTACAAAAGATTGTGGGGACCACAACCCTATCAGTCCTCAATTTATTAATGTAGCACCTATTCTGTGCCAATCAATGGGTGAAGAGCTTGGGACAAAAATGAAAAATGAAATAGTTCCTGCCCTCAGGAACTTGAGATTGAATAGGCAAGTCATTTAACCTCTCTGTGCCTCCATTTCCTCATTTGTAAAATGAATGAATGAAAATGTATGGATTGTGCACTATGTGCCAACCACTATGCTGAGTGCTTGGAATATAAACAGAAAAAATAAGAATCTCTCTCTCATACTCTCAAAGATCTCACACTGCTTAGAGAAAACAGCACATTAAAAAAAAGTAAAGCTACAAGGAGGATGAGAAGACTGGGAAGTCCTACTGGGGCAGTGTCGGGATGGATGGCAAGGCCCCAAATGGAGGTAACAATACCAATAGTACCCACCTCCTAGGGCCGATGTGAGGCTGAAATGAGATAATGTGTTTGAAATATTTTTACCAATTTTGTACAATGTCAGTTATTGTTATTGAAGGTCAAAAGCTGGAGAAATCATAGTGGGCTGGTGTGATCAAAGCATTTATGGAGGAGGTAGAATTTAGTGGACTTTGGAGATTGAAGCATATTTATCCTAAGATTTTAGAGTCCCAAGGAAAGGGACCTTGGAGACCATTTAGTCCACCTCTGCCATTCTATAGACAAGGAAACTGAGGCCTGGAAAGTGACTTCAGTCCCAGGTCTTTGGGTTCTCAACTCAGTGGAGAAAATCAGAGAAGAAGGGCAGAGTATTCCATGAAAGGGGCTCAGCAGAGTTATCCTCCACACTGTCTTCAGGAGATAATCATTGGGCTACTTCAGCTAGATCAAGGGTTCTTAACCCTTTTAATGTCATAGACCCCTCTGGCAGTGTAGTGATGCCTATGGAACGCTCCTCGGCATATTATTGAATGCACAAAATAAAATACATAGGATTACAAAGCAAACCAACTCTATTGAAATAGTTATTTAAAAAAAAAAAGATTACGGACTCCAGCTTGAGAATTAGGAACTAGAATGGAGCTTGTAGGGGAAAAGTGAGAAGTAAGGTTGGAGAGGAATGTTAGGGTCATTCTGGACAGGTCTTTGGATATCAAACTAAGAAGCTGGGCCTTTATTCTGTAGGGCAGTAAAGAGAGATAGAAGCATTTGGGGTGCGAGATTTGGTTTTTTTGTTTTGTTTTTGCAAAAAATACAATTCAATTCAAGGCTGCCGGCCCTGGGAAGACCATGATATAGGCTAGGAGAAGAGTTAGTATTTTAGTAATGATAATTTGATATCCTTCCTGGTACTTGCCCAATCTCTCACCCCATAAGAATTTATCTTACTCCAAGTTGGGTTGTCCCCTAATCCCAATAAATGGGTAAACTGATGACCTTATGAGGTATTCCCTGTCCCAGAAGTATGTACTCTTTAACAGAGAACACGTGAAGATCGAGACCCAAAGGAATAAATCTCTAATGGTGCGATTCTGGGGCACTGGTAATGAGCAAAGGGCTCTATTCTAAACTTTCTGAAATTCTGTGACAGAACCACAGCCCCTCTGTCTGGCATGTTAAATATTTGAAGGCCTCTTAACTGAGCCTTAGTGGGCTTTCCTAACTTCTCCTCTGCCTTCAAATGGGGTTTGTCCTTCATTCTCGAAGAGGATGGTGACATCAGGGAGATGATGACATGACTTGCAATTGACTTTGATTTGAGTGAGGGAGGGCTGTTCAGAGTCACCACTTTCTCCTCCAGAGCCAGCTGGATAAAGTTATGGCCAGATCAGGATGACTGGAGAGGGCCCCAGATGAGGTGGGACCTTGGCCCTTTTAAGCTAAGGTCATATAAAATGGAAACATGCTTATTAAGTAGAACGATACTTTGTTTAGAATCTAATCTAGTTATTGAAAGGATCACCGGAAAAACTCTCTGACCTTAGCTAAGCACCAGCCTCAGAGCGGTTTAGGGTATGTGACTCTGGGCAAGTTATTTCATCTTTGTCTGACTCAGTTTCTTCACCCATAAAATGGGGATAATAGCACCTACCTCACCTGATTGTTGTGAGGGTCAAGTGAGATAATATTTGTAAAGCCCTTAGCCTAGTGCCTGATGCATAAGAGATATGCTTAAGAAATGATCGTTCCCTTCCCTACCCCTTCTGGGCCCAATAACAGTAAAGTGGATTTCTGTGGTACTTAAAGGTTTAAAAAGTGCTTTCTTCAAAATAGCCTTTTGAGATAGGTAGTGTAAGTAGTGTTATCCCTTTTGTGCAGATGGGAAAACTAAGTCTCAGAGAATTGGGAAATGCCTTTTCCTAGGACATCTAACTAAGTGTGGCAGTCGGGATACAAGCCCTGGTATCCTGACTATTAGTCAAATGCTGCTTACATTTTATCATGCAACTTTATCAAACATACTGCAGTCTTGACATTTGCATGAGAAGCTTTCAGAATTCTTTGACAATGGTAGGGGAAAGATGACCTTAGAATGTTTGCCTGACAAGTTTGTCCTTACTTGGACCCAAAAGTGTTCAATTCTATCCCAACAGGCGCATGTATACTTGGCTTCAAACAACCACAGCAGCTGTTTTAAGCTGCTGAACATGTTTGCATGTTACATGGAATTCATTTGAGGAGGTATTTACCCAGGGACTTAGTAAGTTGAATTTGGACATCACTGCACCACCAATGTTTTTTGTTTGTTTGTAGAAAATTGGTGTCATCTCCAGCGATTCATTGAAATGGCCCTGGAGTTTGCATGTTATTCTTCTGTGAGGTTAAGGTTGAAAAAAATGAGTTGGTGGCTAAGAATTCCATTTGAATTTCTCTTTGGATAGTAACAGCAGGGCTGAGCGAAAGTGGAATGATAATCATAGGGACTTGTGCTGAATGAGGTCAGAGGTTTGATGAGTGAGATAGCCTGTATTTGTTTTAAGCCTGTATTTGTTTTACCTCTGCATAAATGCAAGCCTTTTATCCACAGATAAAAGATCAGGAAAGTGGGTAAGCAGATTAACCGGGGATCTGGCATACATACCAAAACCACCAGTTAAGGTGACATCACCTACCTGGAAAATACTAGGAAAATGTGGAAACAGATGCTTTGCTCCTTATCACCTTCTACATGGATGTCACTGTCTTAGCAAACTGATGCAGTCTGCATGTGTGCCAGGCCCTCCATTACCCAGGTAAAAGAGACAATGACCTTGCTTTTTGGGCTTAGCTTTGTCTCTCTTCCTTTCCTGTTCAACCTCTACTCATATACATGGAAGAAGGGGGTTAAAGGCTTGGAGATTTAAAACAAACTGGGGACCTCAACTCCAGAACTGTTTGGTAGTTAATGAGCTATGAGCCCTCACATGAATAATGATCAGGTCTAGCCTAACCTTCAGAAAACTGAGTCTAATAAAAAGGCCAACTTGAACCCAACAGTTCCAGCTACATGTAATTCTGCTCTTTTTTTCTAAAGATCTTGGTGCCTAGGATTGAGATCTCCTGCAGGAGATCATGGGATCATAAATCTAGAGCTGGAAGGAATCTCAGAGGTCACCTAAAAATAAGGAAACTGAAGCCCATGGAGGTTAAGTGATTTGCTGAAAGTCACAAAGGTAGTAAGCCTCAGATACAGGATTGGAACCCAGGTCTTCTGATTCTGGGTTCAGTCCTTTGCCCGTTGTACTGTGCTGCATCCTTAGCAGTCAGAACTGAGAGGAATGAACCAGTTCATTGCATAAGAGGGGGAAAAGCTGAGAAAGCTCCTCCTTATCCCCCACCTTGGGCAAGATTTTTGCTGATCATAGCCGTGGTGGTCATTTTCCTAACATACCCGTTTTTAAAAGCATCTAGTTTAGTATCGCAGAGCCTTTTTTTCTCATAAAATAGAGATAATTTAGAGGTGGCTAGGTGGTGCAAGCGGATAGAACACTGGGTGTGACCCTGGGCAAGTTATTTTAACCCTATTTGCCTCAGTTTCCTCATCTGTAAAGTGAACTGGAGAAGGAAATGACAAACCACTCCAGTATCTCTGCCCAGAAAACCCCAAATGGGGTCATGAAGAGTTGGACACAGCTGAAATGACTGAACCACGGCAATACAGCCAAGGACCTCGGCTGAAGCCAGGTACTCACACAGCCAGCTAGGTTGAGCCTGCAGCAGATAGGAGAGGAAAGTTTAGCAGAAACTGCGTCCAGCAGAAGTCACGTGTCCAGCAAAGGACCGGGCAGTGAATATTATATGTCCTCCAAAGACCCCCACAATGTGCTATGACACCACCCATCAGAGGACGTCAGTGATCTTGCAGCTTCACTTGCCTCTCCGCATACCCCTTGGCCACACACGTTCACCATGTGTGTTGTTGCTGAGTTGTTTTCAGTTGTGTCTGACTCTTTGTGACCCCATTTGGGGTTTGCTTGGCAGAGATACTTAGAGGGGTTTGCCATTTCATCTCCAGCTCATTTTACAGATGAGGAAACTGAGGCAAACAGGGTTATTACATGACTTGTCCAGGGTCACAGAGCTAGTAAATATCCAAGGCCAGATTTGAACTCAAGAAGAGGAGTCTTTCTGGCTTCAGGACCAGCATTCTATCCACCAAGCCATCTAGCTGCCCCCTATGAGTGTGCCCTTCCAAACATTTGCCCTAATCCCACTTATTCCCTATGTGTGCTCCTCTCCATGTATGTTCCCTATATATCTCCACTCCTCCCGCTGACAGTGTGTTATTTATGGGATGATATGCCCCAGGTGTACGGGGCAAATGCCACATTGCCTCTTTTCTTACTCTGATATCTGTTTGGAACTGTGCCCTATAGCAGATTATTAAAGGTAAACATAGCAGTGGATATTTATGAGATGTGGCTTTACTGGACATGTACTCGCAGAGTACTTTGAACCCAGGCCAGCTATCTCTGGGTGTTATTGATTCTATGATAAAAAATCTTAACCTGGGGTTCACAGATACCCCTCCCCCCAAAAGGGGCCTGTGTGTAGATTTCAGGGGAGTTTGTGAACTTGGAGGGGAAAAAATAGATCTTTATTTTCACTAACCTCTTACTGAAGCTTAGCATTTCCTTCAATCATGAATGCAGGCAGTAAACATTATTCTGAGAATAGGTCCACACTGCAAAGGTATCCATAACACAAATGCGCGCGCGTGCACACACACACATACACACACGGCTGTTAAGAATCCCATCTCTGTGAAAATATTAAGTGCCAGAGTAGAGACAAAAAGTAATTCTCAGGAAAGTAGGAGCTGGAGAAGTGGAGAGAGGATGGCTTCATGAAGGACAAAGTGGGGAGGAATGAATAGGTAATGTTTGACTAGGCAGAGAGGATTAGGAGCAGGACTATAGGAATTGTTGTGGGAGGAAACAAAGACAGTGTAAAGTGGTATGACTTTCTGATCAGAAACTGAGGCATAGCTTGCCAGGGGCCTTATTCACCATAATCACCTAGATGGTGGAGTGGATGAGTGCTAGGCCTGGAGTCAGGAAGATCTGAGTTCAGATCCAGCCTCAGACACTTAGATTAGCCATGCCACCCTAGATAAATTACTTAACCTGTTTGCCTCAGTTTCTTCATCTGTAGAATGGGGATAGTAAGTAATAGCACTTACCTCCCAGGGTTGTTGTGAGGATAAAATGAGATAATAATTGTAAAGCACTTAGCATAGTGTCTGGCACATAGCAGGTGCTATATAAATGTTATCTATTATTATTATTATTATTAATCCAGGACCAGAGCTGGGAGCAATCAGTGAGAGAATAATTGCTTCAACTCAGGGATTTTGAGAATGAAATTAGGAACATCTGATACTTCAGGGAACAAGGGTTTTTCATCTCTTTCCCTTACCTCTTATCCTGCTTAACCAAATTGTCCTTGTCTCGTTCCAGGATAGATAAATGATGTTCATCACCTGTCTGAGGACATGCCTTCCACCTAAAATTAGAAGTTTGGTTCTACAGAAGAAATTCAACCCTAGAAATATTTCTGGCATGGGAGGGGGTAAGTTTTGATGGGTAAAATAAGAAAAAATAAACCCACAGTGGCACAATGGATAGAGTGCTGGGCCTGGAAGGCCTGAGTTCAAATCTGGCCTCCGACATTTACTAGCTGTGTGACCCTGGGGAAGTCACCTAACCCTATTTGCCTCCATTTCCTCATCTGTAAAATGAGTTAAAGAAGGAAATGGCGAACCACTCTGGTACCTCTGCCAAGAAAACCCCATATGGGATCACAAAGAGTTGGACACAGCTGAAATGACTGAACAATAACAACCACCACCACCTCTAGTTAGAACTTGTTCCTTGAGTTCCAGTCCAATCCAGTCCAGCATTTATTATGTTCCTACTATATACAAGGGATTTTGCCAGGTGCTAGGGATACAAAGACTAAATAAAAATCAGTCTTCCCCTACAGAGGGAAGAATGAGATGTGTAATCAGATAACATGATACATGAAGGAGAGGAGGTGAGATTATTTTAAAAATTAGAGGGATTGGATGCAGCTGGGTGGCACAGTGGATAGAATACCAATCTTGGAGTCAGGAAGAGCTGAGTTCAAATCTGGGCTCAGACACTAGCTGCATGACCCTGGGCAAGTCACTTAACCATGATTGCTTCCCTGCCCCCCTAAAAAACCCTAATAAACTAGAGGGATCAGGAAGAGTTTCTGATGGGAAATAGCAGCTGAGATAACCCTTAAATGAAGTTAAAGATTCTCAGAGGTGGAGGTGAGGAGGGACCACATTCCCAGCATGGAGTAGAGCCCATGCAAAATCATAGGGATGGAGAGACGCAATGTCATGTACAGAGGACGGCTAGTTGTGGGAGCATTAAGTATGCCAATCTGGCTGGAGAGTGGTATAGAGGGGAGTAATGGGAAATGTAAATTTAATCCAATTCAATTCTTACGTGCATGGAACTAGGTCTTAGAGAGAGATAAAGACCAACAAAAAAAAAAGAGGTTTTAGAGTGAAGCTTTGAAGAGAATTACAAAGTCTTCTACTTTCAATATGAGTGGGAGTGAATTATAGAGGAAATGATGCTTGCATCAGGCAAACATTAACATGCCATCACAGAGAACTAATAGCTGATAATTATGTTTTAAAGCTTACACACATTTTACATATGTTATCTCACCTAATTCTCATTTAAATTGAGTGACTTTTCCATAGTCCTCTAAGTAGTGAAGATCAGAGGCAGAATTTGAACCTAGGTCTCTCCTGACTCCAAAGCCTTTATTCTTTCCACTGCAACACACCATTTCCTAAAATCATGCTACTTAAGAAGTTAGACATTATCCCCCACTACAGCTGCAAGTGCCTTCCTCCCAAAATTACCTTATATTTTCTATGTATGTATGGTCTCCATGATAGAAAGTAATCTCTTTGAGGGCAGTGTTTCATTTTTTGTCTTTGCATCTCCAGTGCCTGACACATTGTAGGCATATAATGTAAAAGGCTTGTTGATTGATTAATTGACCACAACTACTTGTTAGGGATATTGTAGCAGGGAATGATGACTGAAGAAGAGGTTGGACGAGATTCTGATTCTAAAATGCAGTGATTCTATGACTTGAGGCACAGAAACTTCACCTGAAGGAAGTAGCAACATTAGGTTAAGTATGGTCCATATAATATACATGTGGATAAACATAATCACCATAATGATGAAATTACCAAAACCATGACTTTTTCCCTCCAAGGAAAAAGAAGTGGTCCCAAATTATCATACGTGATGCAAGTCTGATTTGTGACTACAAGATGAGCATCATGCCACCCCCACCCACAACAAATTACCCAATTTCATAGATAGCATCCATCTTCTTGCTCTCTTAGAGGGCTGCTGAGCCTCTTAAGGAAACCCTAAGAAGGAAAAAAGAGAAAGATCCATCAGGATTTGGTAACAGGAACATTCTTTCCTGTGATGATGACACTGCCGAAGGAAAAATACATGAGGAGTTTGGATGAAGGAGACAGAATAAGGCAGTTCCCATTCAGACCATTGATATATATTGTACCTTTGTATTGTCTGACCTTTTGTAGTTTAGGAGACATCAGAGAGGTGCCATTATTTTCAGTCACCCACTTGAGTTCCTGGTAAGATCCAAAGACCCATTTATATCATCCATGAACACTAGTGTTTCCGAGTTAATATAGCACTTCGGATACCCATTATGAGTGCTCTCAGAAAAGCCATCCCAGGTCTGAGGCAATCAGTAGCACAGACATGGGAAATGTTTTTGAAAGGAGCAGATGCCAAGGGGGCACATGGACAGGGCAGTCACGTGGAAGGAAGTCACACACACACACACACATGTGCCTGGAGGGCAGGGCCATGACTGGGGTAACTCAGACCTCTGATAGTGTAGAAATGTTGCCAATGTCTTCTGCTTGTGTTAGGCTGGAAGAGATCTTTAGATCATTCAGTCAAATCCCTTAGCTTTATAGATGAGAAAATTAAGCTCCATGACGTTCCTGTGTGCTGGGCTGAGGAGTTTGAACTTTATTCAGTAAAGAATAGAGAACTATGCTAGGACTTTGATCAAAGGAATGACATTGATCAGACTTGGGCATAAGAAGGATTAGTCTGACAGCAATAAATGGATAGATTGGGAGGTGGAGCAGAGGAGTGTGGAGCTGAAAAGATTTTTGAGGAGGCTGTTAGAGTAGCCCAAGTGAGTGGTAATGAAGGTTTGTAACTAAGCATGTCAGGTCTTGCAAAGTACAATGAAAGGAATGCTGGACTTGGAATCAGAGGAACTGGATTCAAATTCCTGTTCTGTTACAACCTGTGTGATCTTGGGTAAATCACTTAACCTCTCTAGGCCTCATTTTCTTCATCTGTTAAAAGAAAGCTGTTGGATCAGATGTCCTCAAACGTTCTTTGTGGCTGTAAATCTATGATGTTACTGCAAGTATTATGGTACCCATTTTATAGATAAGGAAGCTGAGGCTCGGAGAGGTTAAATGGTGATGTAATTAGGTCAGGATTTCAATCCTGGCCTAAGTCTATCCTCCTTTCCGCTGCCCTATTTTATCTCTGTCCTGGGGAAGTACCAGGACTCTACTGGGAAATAAAGAGAAGGGTTTGGATAGAACAGCTAATACAGAGATAGAATTGACAGGTCTTGGCAAATAGATTAGAAGTGAAGGAGAAGAATGAAAGGATACACCAAGTTGTGTGTGTGTGTGTGTGTGTGTGTGTGTGTGTGTGTGTGTGTGTGTTTGTATGAGAGACTGGGCTAATGGTGCTGCTACAGATAGAAATAATAAAGTCAGAAGGAAGAGTAGGTTTCAAAAGAAAGAGAATAAGCTTAGTTTCAGACATGAAGGTGCCACTAGCACAGAGCAAGACATCTTTTAGGCATCCCCCCTGCGTAGAACCTAGATCACACCTGGCAGTGTGATGTTCTGAGAAGAGCCAGGGGGTCAGCAAGTCTGGCTTCTAGTCTGGCCTCTGAAACAAACTGGCTGGGCAGCTTTGTGCATGTCTCTCTGGATCTCGATTTCCTCAGCTGTAAATGGAGGAGTCCAACTAGCTTCTCTCTGAGGTTTCTTCCAAGGTTAACATTGTATGAGTCTAAGCAAAGGTAGGCATCCTCTTGGCACAAAGGAAGGATTATGGAGTATCATTGCTTCTGGACTTTAATTGTATAGAAAAAGTCAGATTAGAGAAATGCAAATTAAAGCAACTCTGAAGTGTCATCTCATACCCATCAGATTGGAGGGGCTATGGGAAAACAGGTACACTAATGCACTGTGAACTAGTCCACCCATTCTGGAAAGTACTTTGGAACCATGCTCAAATAGTTATTAAACTGCGCATACTCTTTGACCAAGCGATACTGCTATGATATAGCTTTACCCCAAAGAGATCAAAGAAAGAGGAAAAGGACCCATATGTACAAAACTATTTATGGCAGCTGTTTGCAGTGGAAAAGAATTGAAAACTGAGTAGATGCCCATCAATTGGGGAATGGCCGAACAAGTTACAGTATGTGAATGTGATGGAACAGTGTTATGCTGTAAGAAATGATAAAGGGGATGGTTTCAGAAAAAATCTGAGAAGACTTGTATGTACTGATGCAAAATAAAGTGAGCAGAACCAAGAGAAAAATTTATACAATAACAGCAATACTGAAAAGATAATTAAGTTTGAAAAACTAAGCAATTCTGATCACACAGTGAGTAACCATAATTCCAAGGGACTTGTGATGAAATGTGTTAACCCACCTCCAGACAGAAAGCTATCTAGTATTTAGCACAGTTCCTAGCACAGAATAGGCTCTTAATAAGTGTTCATTAATTGATTGATGGCCTCAGAATACAACTTGAATCCTTTTTTCTTCTCTTTTTATTATTTTTTTGGACATGGCTAATTTGTTTTGCATGATTATACATATTTATAATAGGTTTTGTTTTTCTTGCCTTTTCAGTGGGTGGAGAGGGGGAGGAGGGAGTGAGTTAAAAATTTAAAATAAAATTGAATTTTAAAAAATAATCATTAGATGAAACTTTTTCATTTTGTTTCCCACTACTCCTTGCACCTAGATATGTACTGTAAGTTATAAAGACCATAGAACTCATTTAGCCAAACAAACCCTTTTCATTATTCAGATGAGGAAACTGAGGAGAGGAAAAAGAGAAGAGAGAAGAGGAGATGGGAGGAGAGGGGGGAAAAGGGGGAAGGGAGGGGACCTCTTATCTATAAAAGAACTCAGAGGTGCTATCCCGATTCTTTCACCTAATCATTGAGGCCTCAGCTGAAGCCCAAGAGATTCAGCTCACCCATTAATGTGTGAACTACATTAGAAAATTAAGTAGCCTCACCTCTCTGATATTCCCCCTAGAGTCTCAAAAGAGGCACAATTTAAGACTTTTATTTAATTCATTTTTTTATTACTCACATGAAGAGTCTGATTCAGGGACTGTGCATTCCCATCAAAGGAGACTTAAAAATAGAAGGGATGGGGGGGAAAGTGTACTCTGTTTAATTACAAAA